AGAGCACACACTGCGTATACGTAATATAGTATACCTAATACAAATTGTTTATTTTAATGGATTTATCATGGATTAAGCTAAGCTGCCACAATAATCACCTAAGGCTATAAGAGTATATTGCAAATAATGTATTTAATAAATTGATTGAATTTTAAATAATTTAAAATCAGCAAGCACCTAACTGGGAACAATATGAGCATAATAATTGAGAATACGAAGAGAAAGGGCTTCTAAATATCATTTAAACCAAATACAATGTTTAAAGACTAGCTTTAATGACATAACATTTTCATGTAACATTATAATTACATAATCCTGAATGAGCTCCAGCCACACATGTCGTATACTTAACGCAAACCACTCTATTTAGTATGCAAAAGTGATCAAGATGCCGTCACCTCAAGAAGTTTTTCCCTGATTAATTGAATGCCATGCGATAAGCCTTAAGCGCGATGCAACCAACAAATCTGGGCAAAGTGCAACACCGTGTGCCGTGCTTGCTCGTGTTTACAGATTTTAATCTAAAGTGCGAACTCATTTTCCATTTTACACTTGAGCACACACAGGATATATACATACATACATGGATGTGAAATGCAGCTAGCTGACTTGTAAAAGCGATGAGGACATTAAAAGTGCTACAGCAATGGGCTGACTGCCGTGCGTGACATTAACTTGGCCCTTAGCCCTTGGTCCCTGTTACATGGCCCTGAAATGTTGTGTCTAGACCTACAGAATGGCAAGAAGGGTTTTACTTTACTCTTTGCTATTTGCAAATTTGCATAATAATCCCGGCAGTGAGAAATTGGAGTGCTTGCCGGCTTTTCCACCAATCAATTAAAAATTAATTACTTTGCTACGGGCCACAGCAAAGGCAAAAGGGACGATTTCTCATTTCCGGTTTAAAAATTACCCCTTTTTTCGTTTTCTAGCAAGAAAATGGTTATTTTTCCATTACAAATGTCATAAATTTCCATTTTGAGCCTGAGTAAAAATCGAACTCTTATTATAAAAATAATTTCTATGATTTATATCAATTTCCTGTGATTTTCCTACCAATAAATCACCGGCAGTCACTTAACCATCTCAGGCGATGGCAACAGGAAATTAAAAACGAAATGAATCAAGAAAAGCCAACATGGTTTTTTTTACCCTAATGTTAAAAGTTGCAAGTGAAAACTAAATGGAAAATGTGTATTTATTTAATAAGCAGACGCAAAGCAGGCAATACAAAGTTTTATCATTCAATATTTTTGTTGTTTCCCAATTTAAAATCAAAGTTGGGGAACCCTTTTCCTTCCCTGCCCCACAGCAGACATGAACATTAATCTTTAACGGACTGCGTTTTTTGCTCAACTATTTTTCTGCTTTTTATTAGCTCCGCCAAGTGCAAACAAATGGGTAACATAATTATCAGCGGAAACGAGAGAGAAATAACAAAAACTGTGGCAAATTAAAAATTGAGTCTGCGCGGGAGCAAGGAGTCGACCGTAAAAAGAGAGGCGCCCCAAGCTGCACACGGCATTTTGTAGGGCTCCGGCGCCCATATAAAATTCCCTCACAATGTTGCAACAACACACACACCAGGACACACCCAACACACACACACACCAGTACACACTGGGCAAATAATAATTTGCATGTTAAGCTGCGCCGAAAATAAAGTGCAAAAGAATTTGCAGTTCGCATAAAATAGTCATAAACGGAATTCGCTCAGCCTTCTCAGAATGGAGGAGGCTACAAAGTAGCGCATCGGTAATTTCATTTTCTATTTACATACAAACAAGTACATATACACACATATATATATATATATATATATATATATATAGCATATATGTATATAAATATACATACACTGATGCAGGCTATGGCACACGCATACACAAATTAAAAATGCATTAAAGCCAAATTGCAGTGCAGCCCATTCGCATTTGCCACAGGAACAGTGGATGTCGGTAATGTAAGGCCACTGAAAAAGGTCGCAAAATATAAATAACATATTTTTTATATATATTAATATATTTGTATATATTTATAGCAAACACATGGCAAATACAAATATTTAAGGAACTCGAACAATTTTGGTGAATTAAATGATAATTATACTCTTTAAATAATGATGCCTTTTGAAATATAATCTGTATATCTTTTAGTACTAAATTCTTTAATCTCTAAATTTATATATGTATAATTTATATATGATTTTTTCGTTCATAAGTGCAAGTCTTCAAAATTCATTATTTTTGTTTAATATATATTATAAAAGAAGTTTCAATTATGCTATAAAAATTGTATGTTTAATATTCATATTAAATGAATTTTTATTATTTTATTATTTTTTATTATTATATTTTTATAATCGTATTTTTTTAATATTATTCTTCGTAGCTTGCCTCACATATAAAGTACATATCATTTTTGCAACTATCAACCCACATGCCTCCTCCATTGATGGTCACAGCGCTGAGACTCGTTATCGTATCTTGGTTCTCCTCGCTTCCACTTGAAAAATACAGCTGGTTTTCCCGAATTCTTGGAGATGAACTTTCCCTTTTCCGCCAGATCGTTTATATCCACTCTGTAGCTAATATCTGATTTTAATTTCGCAACGATCGCATCAAATTCACTTTCATTCTCAATGGATGCCAATTGACCGCCCATCTGACCACAAGTAGTTATAGCCCCTGTCCAATTTCTCTTCAGATATTGTTCCACGTAGAAGTGTTGTTACCAATTTGGTTGAAATTCTTAGGAGCATCTGCCTATTGATTTTGGAAAATGTCTTTTGCAGATCTAACAATTTGTTGTCTAAAGCTGATTGTTGTGTTTTCATTGTCTCCAGTTCGTCGCAAGATCTTTCGGAAGAAGTTTAACCAGGGAGTCCTTTAGTGCATCCAGTTGTCCTTCAATCCTGTTTAATTTCGTTTGAGTTTCATTCACCATGACAGCATCACGGGTATTCCACTGCTGCTGGTGAAGGGCAATGTGATCAATGAGTGGTTTTAGAGCGGTTAAGCAGAATTTTCCACATTGATTTGGTTCATCCTGAAGAAGGCAGACCGTAGATGAAACATCATCAGGTCCTGCCAGGGATTTGTATAAGAAAGATGCAATAATTGCAAAGAACAAAACCGCTTGTGACTTCATAATAACCGCCGACAACGAATGTTTATATAGCACTGAACTTCGCAAAATTTAACTGAGAAACGACAAGCACTTCCTTCTTATCAATAAAGCTTAATTTATTTCATCATAATGTTTTGTGATTCTATTTATACTCTATCCAGTAAATGTTGTGTTGAATTATATGTTAAGCCTCTCATAAAACCAAGCAATTGGAGTTAGCAAAAAAATAATTTTTAAAGATACATACAGTATATAAATCGCGATATTAACTCAATAATAATATAATAACAAATAAGTTGTTATATTTATTTATCCAATGCTTGAAAGAATGAGATCTCTTGAATCTACTTAGTTATTTTTTATAATTTAACTTTGTATAGAAAGATTAATTTTATAAAAACTAAGCTATAAACGGAGGACTTGTTATTGACAGAGTATTTTAAATGCAACCTTATACTTATGTTACGGTTTGTCACATTTGATAAAATATGTTTTTCTTTATGCCGGATATTACTCAGAGAAACTGTTTATTTAAGTAATATATACTAATCGTTTTTGATCAACGTTTTTATTTATTTAAACTTAAGTTAAAATAATAAAAGATCTTGTATTTATTATTTATATATATTATATCTCTGTGATTTCATTTCGCAAGATATCTCCAAAGTCAGTTGGTAAACTTTTAATTTTGACGTACTGTTTTCATACACATTTGCCAGCAAGATGTCATTAAGCCAGCACCAAAAAAAGGTTTTACAACTCTCTTGATATACATGGATGTAAGGATATGTAAATTGTAAGAGTGGGAGTGACAGCCATTTACCAAAGTCCCATCTGAAGTATGAGGACCGGAGGCTTAAAATGAGTATGCATTTAAGTCATTAATATAAATTTAAGAGTTTAGCACTTGTGAAACGCACATGATTATGATAGATACTTGAATAGTTAATTGGCAAATTTATTGAATTATTTATTTTATTATTTTTTATGGTTATAAAAACTTCTACAACACGAAGAGATTAAGACTTTCTTCTTTATATTTTAACATTTAACTGAGCAGAGCTGCAGATCAAATATAATTAAATTTCCTAATTAATATAAAATTGAAAATATCTTTAATTAGCTTTCAAGGAAACACTTTATATTCACTTATAATTTGGTCAAAACTTTTCATTTTTATTAACAAACTTTACAAAACTGAGTTGGACATGTCTCACGGCAGCAGCAATTAATACCACACTTTTTATTCTGAAGGTTGCAAGTTTTTTTGTTCATATCGAATGCCAGCAAACCTGTATAATTAAAATAGGGATAAATGCAGCAACCAAAGGATATAAAATTATATTATATACTCACGTGCATAGCCCTTCTTAGCCTTTTTTCATTAATGGAACGCAATTGGCAGTTTGAAATTTTGGTATAGTAAAAGGCCACGTTGTAATCGCAGTGCGTATCCAGGATACAAAGTCCTGTAACAGTGTTATTGCAGCATCCTGGTGGTTTTTGTGCAGTATAGGTGCAATGGGGTCCACAGCAAATTATCTCTGGGCGGCAATTTGGGTTCCTTAATATTTGAATTGACGCATCCACTCACACCCACGAAGGGCACACAGCTGCTCACAGGTGGTGGGGTAGACAGGACGAACCGAGACCCAGAGGCAGGCTAGAAGCTGGGATATCAGAAGAATTCGTATGGCGGCCATGTTTTGCTTGCAGAGCACTCAGACAATTCCTGCTAAACGTCTTGCTTTTATACCCCTGCCCGCGAGTCTGTGTGTACACAACTGTTGAAAGGAGCTGTTTCATTTTAACAAAAAATTAAAAATAACCCACTCCGTGGGTAGGAAAGAAGACTATAAAAGGGCCGAGTGCCTAGCCACTTCATCTGAGAAGTATCCGACATGGCTGCCAAGATCCTGTTCACTCTGCTGCTCCTTTTCGTTGCGTTCGAGCTTAGCTCCCAGTGCCAATCTAGCACCAACATTAAGAATGGCTGCGAGGTGGTCGTGAACACGAATCCATGTTGCCGGGGAAAGAAATTGATACATCAATGCGCCTGCGATTTTACCTGCTCGGAATGGGACAAGCCCTGCAATTGGGTGTACACCTGTGATGAGGAGATTAAGATTATTAACGATGTCCGTCGGTCTAAGAACAAGCTAAGTACGTAAATTAAACTTTGAAATTGAACATCCTCTCACCTCATTTCAATTATATTTTCTTACAGTTGTTTCTTACTGCCAAGTGTAAACCACCAGGAGTGTCTGGAGATCAATCATAATACGCATAAGCACCCCAACTGTTGTGACAAATTTTGCAAAGCAAAAGTTTTAGATGTTTGTTCCTAAATAAATAAATGCATGATCAAACTACAATATATAAACTGAAGAATATTATTGGGAAATGATGCTAAGGAATAATGTCACCAGAACTTTGTTTTTAACACAGGTTTACATTTTAATTTATATTCAATCTAGGCTCCATCGAGGCTTATTAGTTAGGTATTCAATATAGTCTTTAATTACATGGGACTCATATTTTCCGCTTAACTCATTATTATGAGTAGATTCGGTATAATAATATATATATATATAATATATGTATATATAAAATTTAATATAATTTAAATAATATTAGGTAGTTTATATGTCGTATAATTTTAGTCAGAAGCTTGATATTTGGTGAAGGAGTCTTTTCCGACACTATAAATCATATATTCTTGATCAGCACTAACTGCCGAATCTATCTAGCATTGTTCCCAAGAAAAAGTAAATTTAACAATTTTTTTCTTTAAAATTGTCAAAAAAAATTAACACAAAATTTACTTTTTTAAAATGTTAACTTCATTATGTTCATTTTTAAAGCTATTGAAAACTAGCACAGAAATGCTTACCGAATTGAAATTAATGAATTTTTGGCTTAGTTATGATTAATTTCAATTCGGAATAATTTGATTACATTCTTGTTTATAATCAAACAATGAATTATTTTAAAAATTCGCAATTAATTGATATACAAACATATTGTTACCTATTCAAAGAGATTAATTAAATTAGCAACTTAAAACAGAGGATTAAAAATATACTACATTAATTGTATAATATTTACTCATTCTACTTTACTTCTTAGGTTATTCTTTGACCTTGAATCGATTATCATTATGGAATCATACCATTGCTGTTTAAAGCTGTCATTGTTTATTTAATTCCAAAATTATAAACATTTTGAATGGTCGA